ATGGGTCTATGGGGACGGTTTATAACCGTCCCATTAGACAACATAACCGTCCCCATAGGCCTAAGGGAATAGTTACTCATCCGATACCTTTGCCGCCGTAGTGCTTGGTCTAACGTGACAGTTCATGATTCAAGTAGCGCGGTTCTTGAATTGTCCCCGTTTGTAACATTAGGGGACGGTTTATCTATAGGGACGGTTTTGAGCTTGACCTAAGATGACGGTTATATTGTCTATGGGAACAGTTTTTTTGTTATCTATGGGGACGGTTTTTATACCAAGGGGGACGGTTTCAAGCTTGACCTAAGAGGACGGTTATATTATCTATGGGAAGGGTTTTGTTTGTGATCTATGGGGACAGTTTTTATAACAAAGGGGACGGTTTTCATTTTTTACTGATCAAAACAAATCACCCAGATATCACACATCAGTCCATCACATACAAAGAAACAATAGTCCAAGTTTTACACACAAACTAACCAAACTTTAGCCTTAATATAATGAACAATTCATTAGAACGAAGAACAATATTATAGCAATAGGATTGAGATAATTCTTCACAAGTTTTACACACAAACTAACCAAATTAATCACATATCACAAATCCTCCATGATTAAAACAAAGAGCCACTACTTAATCAAAAGGTCAAAATGTCTCTATTGAGATGATTAAGTTCTAAATCTTCACAACAAATAAATCCCCGGAAGAGTGACAAGCTTGGATCTTCAGATGTTTTCCTGCATACATCAAGATAAAAAGATGAGTAAGCACAAGTAGAATGAAATGGACTGTATGTGTCTCTTTAGAGTCATAACTAATTGCACGACGATCATATTTAGGTATATAATGAAATTAAGAGTAAGCACAAGTATAATAGAAGAGACACGAATGGTAAAAGGATAAAGGTCCATCATAATTCCTAATTATTTGAGACATACTATAGACACATGCTGAGGCAGACACCTACATTTCAAGCTATCAGTCATTGGATAATTAAATTTGTCTATACTCTGGAGGCTCCTCTTTAGGCCTTCAGCTTTCATGAAGCCAACTTCGACCTTTCTGAAGAATTAAACGCCAAGTAATAAGATTTACCACAATAGTGACTCTTCTTACTTAAATATTATCATAGCAGAAACAATGTTGTTATATGTTTAGAAGAATCATAAAAGTTTCAGAAAGTAACTTGGACATCTATTTCACATTGATCAGTAATAGTGCTTTGGCTGCGGTACTCGTCAAGTTCCCTACAAAGATCTTCATTAGTAGCTTCAAGCCAAGAAATTCTATCTTTGAGGATCTACACAATAAAATATAATATGAAGTCAATCCTTATATCAAGGAGAATCTGCGGCTAGTCTTTGAGGATCTACACAATAAAATATAATATGAAGTCAATCCTTATATCAAGGAGAATCTGCGGCTAGACAGCTAATAGCAGAGACATGTAGCAAAATTTTGATACAAAACTTGAACTTCATTGGTTGGAGCCCCTCCACTGCGAGCAAGCAGCTCTGCCTACAAGAATTCAAGTTGTTGCCGCATCCTTTGCATCTCCGCTGACATTGGGTTCTTGCAAGAATTCAAGCAGCTTCCCGCCTTTCCAGAAGGGAGGACCCCTTTTCCTGTCCTGGATGTCACTCACTCTATCTAGTAAGAGCAGGCAAAGCAGTATCTATTGAGCTGGGGGGACATCTTGATGGATGAAAGAATGAGGGTTTGAAAAGGTACAATGCAAGGAATAGTTTCTGTTATAAATCAATTAAAAATAAAATATATAGCGATCACAGAAAAGAAAAGAGGGGAAAAAAGTCCATCTAAGAGTTTCGCTGTCAGAAAGCAGAATTCATCCAAGAGTTTCTTTTCAAATATAGATGAAAAAAGTTCAGCTGCTGTTCGCAGATGAAAATAGGATTTTTTTGTCCTTCGGTGTTGATGAATCTTTTTCCTTCGGTGTTGCTAAATCCTTGGCCTTTTATATTTACATATAATTATTATCTTTTCTTTTTGTGGAAAACTTATAATTCCTTTTTGCCTTTCATAAACCACAATGTCATGGATGCTTAATAATGTGGGCTCTAATCTTATTGTTGGTAAGGTATGGTTTATAATTTTTTCGGGGGAAAAGAAAAAGAGAATATCTCTACTGTAAAATTACAACTTTATCCTCTCAACTACATTGTTCAACCCCCACTTTCCTCTTTATACTCAGTATCGATATGATTAAGTAACAAAGTCTTGGGTTTTGATTTAGTTACCTGTTTCCCCTCGAACCAAACTTTGTAAGGAACTGTTGTGCTCATTCCTAGTTCCTTTGCTAGTCTCTGTACCAGTGTTCTGCTGCCCGTTAAAGGTATCACTGAGTCTTGATCACCACTAAAACACAACCAAATTCACATAAAGAATTAGGTTATGAAGATTAAGTTTGAAATTAGAATTTTTCATTGTCATTGCTATTTTTACCTGTAAACCAAAACTGGGATCCCAGACTTAACCAGGGAACCTACGACTGAGATTGTTGGTATCTCCAAGTTGAGGAAATTGCATTCAAGTACACTGGAGGGAAAAAAAAGGAAGACTATAAATTCAATAATTAGGAAAAAATGAATTTTTTTATTTTATTGAAGTTACTTCAACTTCCACAATCATAATAGTGAAATAGCCAGTTATACAAGTCTAAATGGAATTAAAAAGAGAAACAAGTTTTGAAGAATGTACTAGTCATTACGCTAAATAGTTTTGGTGAAATTTATAAATTTAAAAAGAATTCACTAATTTTCTGACTATAATTGACAAAATAAACCAAAAGATTTGAATTCAAAGAGTGAGTCTGCTACACTCTTAGCAAAAAGAAACTGACATTTTTGGTATTTAAATTGCCATGGAGAAAATACTCAACATCCAAAATTACTCACAACAATTCCTTTAAGATTGAAGATCTTTTCTCTCTTGTTGAATTAAACCATGAGATTAGCAAGCTGAGGGATGTATTGTCCTGCATAGCTTTCCCGAGAAATATAGAGATCCCTATACTTATATTGAGGGAATTTCTTGAGCCAGTGGCAAGCAAAGACCAGATTGTCCCTGCCTTAAAAATTAAACCAAATAAACTCTTCAGAAATTCAAAATGTATTAAAATTCAATGCTAAATAACTAAATTCCATTAAGTTTTGAGAATTTACCAGTCATCTTATCATAAACCCCAGCATAATAGGAGTCATTAGAGGAGTAAGAGAACCCAACTCCTGCTGGTGTCTCCAAATACAACATATTGGCTTCTGTAGGATCACAAACAGAATCTTATAAAAGATATATTTTTATAAGAAAATTAAGAATCAAAAGTATTACACATACCTCTATTCCAACTAAATTCATTTCTGACTAGAATTTTCCCACTGGGTCTAAAAGACCCATTCTCTGAAAATGCCCCAACCCCAACTGAAGAACAACCGGGCCCATTTCAAAATTCAAGCAAAAAAAACCAAAGTTAGGGCAAAAACCAGCCCATTTGAAGAAAAGTGATAAAGATGGATCTTTTACCTCCATTCAACCACAAGACAAGAGGATTTGAGGATGAGTCGGCCTTAGCTTCAGCAAAGTAGTAGAAGATAGATCTCTGCTTCATCTTGTCAACTGTGAGGGAGCTTGGTTATCTTGTCTTCTGCCAATGAGGAGCAGAGATGGAAGAGAGCTACAGCGGCCACGATTCGAGAGATGGAGGAGGGAGGGTCTTGGAGGGGGGAGAGGGAGATGTGAAATTTGGGGATCTGGATGGGGTCTTGTCGTCTTGGGGTCATGGGGGTTTGTGAAGCGGATAAGGTCACGAGAGAGAGAGATAGGGGTCACGAGAAGATGCGGGGAGGTTTCGATAAGAGTGGTTTAGGGCGGAGGTTTGGGTTTGGATCCAATCTAGGGTTAGGGTTCCGTCGAGGGGGTAGGAGATTGGGGTCGGGGTTGAAGGAGAAGAGGGGATTTCTTTATTTTGATCGGGTGAAGAGGGGTTATACGAAAGAAAAAAAGAATTGCTTTCTTGGTTAAAGTTTGGGCCCATAATAAAACCGTCTCGTTAGCTCAGTACACTTTTTTTTTCAAGCCTAATTTAAACCCAACATTTTATTTTAAAGCGTTGTCTTAGACTCTATCATAACGGTTGGAACCGTCTCATAACCGTCCCCTTAGGAGGCAAAGGGGACGGTTTTAAACCGTCCCCAAAGAACCGTCCCCGTATATCTATTTTGTGGCAGTGTGTAGTGACTGGTTATCAGAAAGGACCTCCCAAATGAAAAATATCATCATTTTACAAACTAGTCCAAAACATGAAAATATGAGATACTTGAATTTTGATGTTTTGACATAAACCAACTTTTGAAACTTTGTGAAATGTTTTTATAGACTTAGTAAAACATGTACAAACTGATATTCAAGTCTACAAACTAAGAATACAATATTTTCACAAAATTACATAATCTATGCAATAAATTCAAAACACTAAATATGATTTCATTAAATATAAGCTCGTTAAAGATGAAATCATATATATATACATATAAGCATGAAACAAAATAGTATTTTCCAATTCTATGCATTTGTTTCATATATAAGCCCGAAAACTATAAAACCAAAAACATATGTATATATATATATCACTATATATATATATAATAGTATTTTCCAATTCTATGCATTTGTTTCATATATAAGCCCGAAAACTATAAAACCAAAAACATATGTATATATATATATATCACTATATATATATACATATAAGCATGAAACAAAATAGTATTTTCCAATTCTATGCATTTGTTTCATATATAAGCCCGAAAACTATAAAACCAAAAACATATGTATATATATATATTTGTACATTGCTTCACTCCACAATTCCTCCAACCTCCATTGGATATCATCGTTGTAGCGCATATTCCATCCAACCTCCAACACGTTGTTTGCCTAGAATAAATACGAAAACACAAACACTAAATAAATAACATTAAAAGTAAATTGTTTGTTAAACATTATCAAAACAAGAAGGCCAACAATCTCCCCTTTTTGATGATGACCAACAATTACAAAAAGGAATATAATGCATGAAGGAAATAAACATATACAAGATAATACACATGATATAAATGTATACTCACAATATACTCCCCTTTGACAACATCAAAAAAGGGGACAAAAAGGATTAAGAGAGCGAAAGCTCCACCTATCAATAAGCATGGGTGAGTATCAAACATAAAAAGATATAGGGTTTCTCCCCTATCAAGAAGCCATATGGAATATATAAAATGAAGTGCAAGGCAAACATTGTGAGCAAGCATAGCCATGCTAAACAAGACTCACATACAAAATACAATGATGACACATATTTAATATGCCATTTAAATAATGTGTCTCAAAACATAAACATAAAAATCATGTATAAAAATAGATTTATGAAATCAAATGAAAGAAACATGAAAATCATGCAAAAAGTTTTCAAATGCAAACAAATCAACCAAAAGAATTCATAAATCAAAATTTATATCCAAAACCGATGTTTGATCAATGAAATAAATTTTCTTTGTGGATTTGATCAAACCACATATAGAATACATTATAAGGCACGAATAGATGATCCATAAGCACAACACATAAATATCATCATATAAGTGAAATATAATGAATTCACAGCAACAAATCAAAACAAACTCTTTGACAAAAGAATTTCAAGAGAGGCAACAATATATCAAGCTCTTAAGCTTGTTTCAACCCATATAATTCATTTTAGCATCCGTAAACATGATTTGGGAATAAACACCCAATAATCCGGAGGTTTATAAATATAGTCCTCTCATCAAACAAAAATAATGATCATGAAAACCAAAAAGATTTTGATACAAGAAATTGTTTTCATAACTAAAAGATTTTAAAGATATAATTTCAAAACCAAGAAAAAGAAAAAAGAAAAGCACTAAGTGCTTGGTTTTAAAAATCAAATTTGTTTGGTACCCAAGTATTCTTGGTACCAAAAGATTTAGGACATGACCCCTATCCAATAAAGCTCAAAGCCCTAGGGTTATGAACCCTCTGGCATATGTGTGTGCACGGGATCGGTCATAGCAATAATCACTCAAATGACCATTCCGATTGCAATATGTACAATGGAAAGGAACCATTTTCTTATGTTGACAAGTGAGCGTGCCACGGAAATCATTTGCAACTAAAGATTGTCTTTTAAATTTATTTGCAAATGAAAACCTATTAAACAAAGGTGGTTTACTTGAAGAATTGGCAAGTTTTGAACATTTTTTCAAAATCATAACAAAACTTAGCCAAATGACCAAATCTACCACAAACATCACACTTAAAAACATGTGTTCTACATAAACATTTGGCAAATTAGAATTCTTTTTCAAATCAAAGCAAAACTTTGCCAGAATGGCCAAAACGACCACATAAACACATTTATAACACATTAGCATGCTTATGATGAGAAATAGATGCATGTGCATGTGTGTTGCAAAATGTGATGATGAAGCTTGATGAGATGCACAAGGAGGATTAAAGTGAATCTTGTGGGTTTAATGTGCATCATAGCAAAATCTAGCAAGATGGCTTTACGACCGTAATTTGTGCATTTGTAGACTTTGCTATACATGTGTGCATGATGAATAGGATGTTTAGATTTTAGCATGAGACTTAGCACACATGTTCATAATCTTATCATGATTAACAATACATATTTTAAAGGGTTGAATCTAAGATGATATGTGATCGTTAACATGATTCAACTCATCATTATGCATACAAGTATTGTTATTAGAAGTAGAAACATATATTGTTATTTATAAAAGAAGCGGTATCATTTTGTATGTTCTCTACTTCTAACGATGGCATTTTTTTAACATGAGATAAGCTAGCAATAGATGAAGACATGTTATTATTTCCAAACTTAATAACTCATTGTTTTCTTTTTTAAAATAGCATTCTCTTATTAACAACAATATCAAGTTTGGAAGCTAGGCGACTCATGATCGGATTTATAAACTAATATGCTTGCTTTTAAGATCAATAATAATTATTTTGTTAATTTTGTATAGGCATGAGATAATTATCATATGACAGCCGAGTTCACTCAAGAGATAAGTCATTATCGAATCAGAATCGCTTACTACACAAGAGTTATCCTCTTGTGGTCAGTGCATGATGCTCCACATGAACTTGAAGAAGAGTCCTCCAAAGCTTGTCGGATTGCCTCCAAGTCCCCTTGATGTGCTTCAATAAATTTCCAAAGTTTGTAAGCACTATCAAAATAAACAAAATTTTTAGAAAAGATGAGTCAAAAGCATTAAGCAAAAATTCTAACAAAACGTTCTTTCATTGTAAACATTTATTATCATGATCGGCTCCACTTGGGATTTCTCCAATGTGGCAACAAATGTAAGCACAATCAATAACTTCCCATAAGTCAATATTTCTAGATTGCACAAATAGTTTAAATCTAGAGAAGTCCATTGTGGCATAGGGGAAATTAATGAATTTAGGAGCCAATTATTTGATTCATAGCCTAAACGAAATATATTCATATTCATGATATATATGTGAAAATATGCAAGGCAAGATAAAAGTAATCATAACTAGATTAGCACAAATAAGATAACTTGGATCTTTAACTCAAGGCGGTTAGTCCTTAAATCAAAGAGCACCAAGCTCTGATGCCAATTGTTAGACCCTAGGAGGGGGATGGGGGTGGGGGTGATTAGGGTCTTATGCTAAATCTAATCCGATTAAATGGCCAATTAAAACTAAATTAACAAATATATTCTTGCAAGATAGATATACAAAGAGTTATGTGCAAGAATATGTAATATACACAAGTGATATATCCTATATGATAGAAATATATAACAAGGATAATATAAACAATAAGATATATCCTAACAAAGAGATATAGACAATGTATGTGTAAGGATATAAAACTAACAAGAGGGGTAAACAAATTAACTACAAATGTGATAGAGCAAAAATGATCAACAAGCATACACAACTGGCGATATAAGATATGAACATCAAAAACAAATACGCCAAAGACAAACTCAAACAAGCAATATGATCACGGAGTTCGGACCTTCCGTCCTACGTCTCCGCTCCCCACTCCCGGGGAGAAATCCACTAATACAAGATCTCCACTATCACAACCGGGTTTTCTACGTTCACCCGAACAACGTTTACACCTCACAATACAATCACTATGTAATCACACCTCACACACTAAGTGTTGGTCCTAGCCCGTGTCCTCCTCCTCAAGTGCTCGGTTACAACCTCTCCCTAGGCACGTCAACCGACGCCACTCCTCTTGGATTCGACCCCGTCTCTCACCACACACTTCTCTCGGTGTACAAGTGTATTACAAGTGAATCCTCACAATTAGGCACAAATATAACAAATGATTGTTCTCAAAACAAGGTGAGAACTCAATTAAGCTCACTCTCAATGTCACAAACCCACAACCCTAAATTATACTATGAATGTAAATACAATAAGCTCAATAGGTTGTGTGTGAACAAAGAGATAAAACAATATAAACTCAATATGAAATCTAGCTTATGAAATTAAGAACAAACTTATAAAATGCTAGAATTGAGTTTAAGGAAACTTCTCTATAGATGACAAGAGAGAGGGAGAAGAATGAATGCTCAAACACCAAGGATGATCTCCACTTGCTCTTGTGAAATTTGCTCCACAAATCAAACTCTTGTAAATGCTTAAAAGCTTTTTAAACAAACACTAAACCCTTAAACAAAACTCTTTAAAATTGTTTTTAAAACTCTCTTTAAAAGATTCTCATTAACCCTAGAATTGAATACAATGGGGGCATATATAGCCTCCCAAGAATTCAGCCAAAAACCTGACCAAAAGACAAAAACAGCACCATCGTCGGTCGACCGGAAATTCTGTCGGTC